AAAGTTATACTAAGACTATGCCAGTATGCTAGAAACTGAGCCCTGAACTAATAGAGTAGAAACCCACTCAGATAGCTACTATATAGTAAGAAAAATACAACCCCTATGCAACCAGTAATAGTTACCAGAAACAAGCCCAATAGGTAACGCCTAGTGAAATATAGAAAAGATATAAAGTAGAGTACTGTCTTTAATATAGATAGAATAGATATCTTATCTACTAATATTCTCTTAAGTCTATTATATAACTAATAAGTATAGCAGCTGTTATATCTATACTTTATAAATAAGAATAATAATATATCTCAGATAAGAACTCAGACTCGGGAAAAGAGAAAGTTTAGTATAAAGTTATATATCTAGATAAGAATTACTAGATAAAACTAGAAAGAATTAGAAAAGTTTTAAAAAGAAATATATAGTTATATACCCCTTTTTAGTAGAAGTAATTCTGGATCTGATAGTAACTACTTATATACTTATTAACTCAGGGTGTCTAACTTATAGTATTATAAGTAAGATGTTTATCTGGGTAAATAACCTATTAATCACCAGTATTACCCCGAGGCTGGTACAAGGAATCTCCAGTGATAAAGTGCTAATCCACTCTATTATATAAGTAAGAATAGATATTAGATCTTATTATAAGGGCTAAGGAGGTGAAATAGCGTGATGAACGAATAGCCTTTGCGAGGCCGAAGGTGCCAGTTGATTGCCTTAAGGTGTTGTTGCTAATCTGCCTAATCCGCGAGTCACCTACCCCCTAAATGGGAGGTCGCGACTCACTTGCTTAGCTGTTATGTGACTGGTGCCTGAGGCCTACTATATAGATTTCCCTTCGCGATTACTTATAAAGATTAGAAGAATTATTTTAGTCCTTATAACTATCCTTCCTCCTCTTATAGAGGGGTATTACTTCTTATAATAGTACTATTAAAACCTCCTCTCTGTAAATACTACTTATGGGAAACCAGAGTAGTAGAAAAGGTAGCTTTGCTTCTTCTTATCTTTATGGGTGGTATATTACATCACCTATCCCCCCAGTGCATGGTCTGCCACCCACTGGCCCACTTCTTTTACAATACCCTAGACCTGTCTCCCCCCCGCGATTAAGATAAGTCTTTCCTAGTAAATAGTATTAAATCTCTCTTAATTTACCTATTCAGGCTGTCTGACCTGCTTTGAAGTTGAGGCTAGTAGAGCTAACTTCGTGGGGTAAGGGTCTTCTACTATATAAGAAGGCTCTTCTCCCCTCTTACTAAGGTCTTTTCTTCCCTAAGCCTCTCTCTCTCTCTCTCTTAGTAAGTCCCCTTATATATTATTCTCTTCTTTGGTACTACGAGCTGCTGATAGGGTGCTCTTACAAGTATCAGTACTCTTATAAGCTTTAGTATTCTTATAAACTTCTGTAGTCTTATAAGCTCTAGTATTCTTATAAGCTTTAATAGTCTTGACTAACTTAATCTTCTTTATTAGCTTCTATAAATAACAAATCTCTTCTAATAAAATATATATATCTTTCTTTCCCCTCTTGCGAAGATGTTTCTGATATACTTGCAGCTTCTCCCCGCGATTCGTCCACTTCTGCTGCTCCTGCAGCCACTTCCTCCCCAGCCCGGGTAGGTGTTGCGATTCTTTTCTTTCAGGCTCAGCTAATAGTGGTCAGCACCGCGCAAGCTCCCCCCCCTCCACTGAGGGGGTTGAGGGAACCACCCCCACCCCCGCGACCACCACTGCCGCCGCCGCCCCCGCGACCGCCGCCACCATTGCTGCTGCCGCTGCTACTACCACCGCCACCGCCGCAAGCGCCGCTGCCCCTGCTCCTGGCCCCGGCCCCGCGACCGCCGCTGCTATCACCCTCCCCTCGCGTACAGCGACGTACGCGAGGGGAAACAGGGTGATGACCTTAACAATGGTAAACATTGTAGCGGCCCCCGCGGCTCCCGCCCCTCTGCTCCCTGGACCTCCCCCGCCTCCTGCGGGCACACCCAGGGCTCAATGGGACCGGCCGGCGCCCTATAAGCGGGCTACTGATGAAGAGTGGGGTACCTTCTTCTTCATCGAGCTGCCTCCCGCGGCCTGGTTTACAGGTCGTTCGGAGGCAGCACCTGCTATAGTACCCGGTCTCCCCCCCTGGATAGGTTTGTAGCCCCTGTCGGGTCGCAAGTAGGCCTGGATTCGCGAGCCTATCGTGCGGTCTATACTATATATTAGGTGGTTGAATTCCAGGCAGCTGGCTGTCCGGGCCCAGCTCCACGAGGGCATCCTCATGTCTTGGGCTGGCCGGCAGCCTCTACCCGACCAGGTGTGTAGATACTACCGTGACCCCTCCTCTAGGAGGGCATTCCACGACTATATTAGTAGAGGGATTAACTAGAAGTATAATAATTATTTATATACAGGTGGCAAGTACTGTTCTCTTATAGAATAGGACTGTGCCCCTGTGTGTTCTGACTTCTGGCCTACACGAGTAAGTGCTGCAACTCGTGTTGGGTATAGAGGATATATAATCACAGGTGGTATACTATTTATATATAGTTATTAGCTTTTTCTTAGTTATTAACTAAGTTTTTTATACCTATAAGACTTGAATTCTTTATATATTTATAGGTAACGTAGATTCGCAGCAGGTTTCTATATATTCTTATTATTGTAGTAGTCTTTCTATTTTACTAATATCTTAGTAATTTCTTTACAGTATCGCGAGGCTATTAGTACCTCTAGATAGTACTTACAGTCCTCAGGGCTCCTATTCTCTTATAAAAAACACCCTTGCGAATCTATACCTTCCATAGTATAGTATTCACGGAGTAGTAAGATATAGAATATATTATATACTTACTAGTTAGCTAGTAGCTCCATGTGGTAGGCTTACTTGCCTATTCTTTCTACTATATAAAATAGTCCTTGGTAGTATTGGTCTAATTTCTTATATAGTCTTCTTCGCGGTAGGTTCTTTATAGATAGCTATACCTTCTGGCCTACTGTAAATACAGTAGTCCTGTGACTTCTATTATAGAAGTCCTTCTAGTACTTATAAGCCTATTCTAGATTCGCAGCTACCTGATCTCTTACTTCTCTGATTTCGCGGATACGGTCTGTTAACCCCTGAGCTGGGTTATCCAGGATCTATAAATCTAGTATAATTATCTATGGATATTACGCAGTTATTATAAAGAATAGAGAGTGCTTAGTAGATACCTATAGAGAGTTATTATATATAAACTCTACAAGTAGTAATATCTCTATCTAATTATCTTGCTTAAAGTTGATATAGTTTTATAGATACTATTCTAGTATACTATTCAACCTCTCTGTCTGCCTATCTATCTATGGGTGGTAGGCAGTACTTAGCCCCTGCTTAATTGTAAGGGTATAGATGAAATCTGACTAAAAGCCCCTTATGAAAACCAATCCTTAATTAATAATCATCTTCATGGGTATACTATATAATCTAAAAATCTCTCTTAGAAAGAGTATTACAAGCTCTTCCCCTAAGAGTATCTTATAAGTAGAGATGAAGTGTGCTATCTTACTGAAATAGTCTACTATAACTATAATACTATTATAAACCTCCTGTGAGTTCACATCCTTATAGGTGCTCACAGATAGGCTTGTAATAAAATCTATTATTACTTCATCCCATAGTCTTACTGCTGTGGGTAGTAGTTCTAGTAAGCCCTGTTGCTTTCCGCAAACCACCTGTCTGCTCTGATATACTCTACACGCGTGGCAGTACTCTTTCATAAAGCTGGCTAATTCTAGCCAGTAGAATCTTTGTAATACTAACTCTTATGTTCTTATCTTTGTGAAGTACCCTATAATAGGGTTATTATATAACTTTGTAAGGATTCTTAACTTTAATATATAACTCTCTGAAATATATAGCTTTTCTATAAAGTATAGTAGATCTTATCTTATACTCTACTATAAGTAGTCCTTCTTCTATAGGTATTCTTTTATCTTAGACTGTCTGCTCTTATAGTCTTTCTATTTTATCTAGAAGATCTCCCTTGCGAGGTCGTCTACCTATAGTAGTTCTGGTAGTTCCTGTAGTAGATTAATTAACAGGTCCTTATGATATATGCTTTCTTCTGTAGTTGCTTTTACCACCCTTATATAGGACTCCAGCCATTCTGGATCCTTTGCAGTACCTTGTACTAGCATTATCCTGGCTCTTGTGTGGGTAACTACTTCTCTCTCTAATTCTAGGAGATTATTTAACTACTACGGGACTATTTTCCCAAGTTTCTTATAGTCTTTTTCTATAGTCTACTTATTATAGTTAGGCCTTCGCGACAGTGCGTCTACAGGGTTCTATAACCCTGGTCTATACTTAAGAAAGAACTTGAATACTATAAGATATTAGACCTACTGTACCTGTCTTTACAACAACTCTTTATTTATTATAAAATACTAGAGATTTTTAAAGTCTGTAACTATCTCTACTGAGTGTTCTACATCCTCTAGCCAGTGTCGCTACTCCTTGAATAATTCTATAATCATAAGGAGTTCTTAGTTGTGAATACTATAGTTCTACTCCATGGGTATTATCTTCTATAAGTAGAATACTACTAATTTCTACTAGTCCTCTTGATCCTTCTGCGATAGTATCCTGCTAATTATAAAGACTAATATATTAGTTTTAATTTATAAGGGTTCTTCTTCTCTAAAATATACTATTATTATATTCTCTATAAATACTTCTTTTAATCTCTAAAAGCTCTCGCGAACTTTTAGGAATAAAAAATTATATCTGGTTTTTCTTTCCTCCTCTTTGTGTGGTATCTTTGTTAGATTAGTTATTAGTACTGTAATTCATAAGTATTCTTTAATAAACTGCCTATACTAATTTATAAATCTAATAAACTTTAGTATATTCTTCATATTCTATAGCTCAGGCCAATCATAAATCATTATAATATATCCTAGTTCTATATAAACGCCCTCTCAGCTAATTAAGAACCCCAGAAAGTTGATTTCTATTACTACAAAGAAATACTTACTTAACTTTATATATAATCCTGCCTCTTATAGAATATATAATACCTCGCAGATCTATGTCTTATATATTTCTAGATCCTGTGAGTAAACCATAATATTATCTAGATAGATAATTATAAAATTATTAAGATATCCCGCGAACAAGGAGTTTATAAAACTTTGGAACCCTACAGGTGCGTTGGTCAGCCTAAATAGTATAACCAGATACTCAAACAGTCTATACTTTATATAGAACACTGTTTTCCACTCATGCCCTTCTGTAATCCTAATCCTATGGTAGGCTTCGTGGAGGTCTAACTATGTGAACTAAAGGGCTCCTACAAGTTGATTAATATACTTATTAATTTGTGGTAGTGGATAGGTGTTCTTTACTGTCTACTTATTCAACTTACAGTAGTCTATATATACTTATAGACTTCTATTCTTCTTTCCTATGAACAGGACTAGTGCGTCTACTAGTAACTTGGAATACTGAATCTATTCTTTCACAAGCATCTCTTGCAGGTACTCCTATAGGACCTTTCTTTCTGTAGGTAATGTCTTATATACCCGCCCCAGCTTTGGCTAGAAGTTCTTGCGGAGATTAATCTCCAAGTCTATACCTAACTAGTATTCTAGTAGTATTGCAGCTTCCTCTTCTATAAAGACTCTCTTATACTTACAACACTACTCTGGTATTACCTGGTCCGCAGTCCCACCGCGAACCTCCTGTATTATTACTAGACAGGGGTTTATTTTATCCATATTCTGCTGTGTAATCTCTACTACTGCGACTTACAGTACTTATAGTATACTATTATCACAGAAATATAGCTTATATTTATGGAATATAGTATATAGTTTCTACTACTTTAATTAAGGTATCCTAAGAACAATCTCTTCTATCTCTAATATTATAATAGTAAGATCTATTTGTCTCTTATATTTGCCTCGTGTATCCTCTAGCTTAATAGTAAAGGCTATAGTCTCTTTAGACTGTATTCTTCTATTATTAATACTATCTGTAAGTATTTTCATGGGTACTATTAGCTATTCTGCTTGCTTCGCTAGTACCGCAGGTACTAGATTAGCCTCCGCGCCACTATCCACTACTACTTCTCTATCTGGGAGGTGTTTCTTGCTTCTATATATTATTAGTTCTCCCCTTAGTTATAAGCTAGGGTATGTTGTAAGCTCTGCCTCCTCTGGGGTTGGTACTATAACTCAGCTGACTAGTCATCTCACGACTGGCTTCTGCGATATATAATACTTCACGATATAGTTACCCTTCCTATAGTTAAAGTAGGTATATAGTCCTGATAACTTATTAGATTCTTGCAAGGACTAATTATTTAATCTAGATTCTAAGAATCTCTTCGCGGTAGAAGTAGTATTATGGTCTGGCTTGTGAACCCAATCTAATAAGAGTATTAATCTTTAGTTCTTATAGTATAGCTTATTCTCTTTAGACTCTTCTTTTAAGCAGTCTCTCTGCTGTTTATACTGCTAGTTTAGTATCAGCTGCAACTGTGCGATGAGTGCAATAAGGTCTTGCTCTATTATAGAGAATACAGACTGCTCGCGGATCTTTCACTATATTATAGACTGGAATAAGTCAAAGAATAGGTGCAGCTATAGTATATTAAGGTCTAGTATCTTATGATCTAACTTAGTCTTTATCTCTTTCTACTTCTATAGATAGATAAACTCTAATTCCTCTTTGCGAGGTTCTACTTGAAGGATTTTTAACTAAGTCTTCTGTCTATAATTCGCGGGGTCTCCTAGTTGGATTTCTAGGAATTCATAGAGGCCTAACTAATCTCTTTTGCAGTATGGCTCAGCTGTCTTACCCCTCCACAGGTTGTTCAGGGTATGGTCTAGATAGACCACTGTGACACGCATCTTCTGGTCCTTATTCTAGTTATTGGCCTCCGTGGTTGATTCCTAATATATAATAAACGCGCGGTAGATGGTATAGTCGCGGGTACTATACTAGTCCTTATCTGCAGATGGATTAATATATATATTAGTTCTCTTTATATCTGTAGTACTAGAATTAGAATTATCTGAGATTCTCTGTAGGCGCTTCTTCACGCTACTAATCTCTAGCTGTCCTTGTAATTCTGTAATCTATTTAAGCAAATATAAATATTTATAGAGTTCCTAGGTTAGGATTTGTACTTCTCTTTTAATTATAGGGGATTTATCCCTCACAATTAATATATAGTCCTCCGCGAGTAGCTTAGAGGGATTACCCCTGGTTTGGCTTCGTATCCTGTATCCGGCCATTGCTTACTGGGCTATTTCACAGGGTATTAAGTAACAAGGTTATAAGGGCTAAGGAGGTGAAATAGCATAATGAATGAATAGCCTTTATGAGGCCGAAGGTGCTAGTTGATTGCCTTAAGGTATTGTTGCTAATCTGTCTAATCCGCGAGTTACCCACCCCCTAAATGGGAGGTCGCGACTCACTTGCTTAGCTGTCATGTGACTGGTGCCTGAGGCCTACTATATAGATTTCCCTTCGCGACTACTTGCGAAGGTTGGAAGGGTTGTTTTAGCCCTTACAACTATAAGATCTATAACAAGGAACTACTAGCAGTTGTATAATACCTGAAAGCCTGGGATACTGAGCTATGCTCAGTACTAGAGTTTATAGTAATAACCAATTATAAGAATCTAGAGTACTTCTTTAAGCTATATAAACTTACAGAGAGATATATATAGTAGAGCCTAATTCTAAGTAGATTTAACTTTAAACTAGTTTACTAGAAAGGAATAGAAAATAAACAAGTAGATACTCTATTATACTAGAAACAGGATATACCCAATAAACAAGATTCTAGGATATTATTCTATATAATCTAGATCTTTGACAGAATACTAGAAGAGGATTAAAAACCCAGAACTAGTCTACTTACTATAGCTCCAGTACAGCTATAAGAATATAGAATAGAGTTAAACAGAGACTCTCCAGAATAGATACTGTAGACTAAAACAGAAATACTAGAGCTAGAGAATAAATCTAAGAGTAGCTGGAATTATATCCT